TTTTCAAATAGTTGTATCTCAGCCAAATATTGTCCTATCCTAACAAACCATACATCAATATAAAGCTTATTTATTCAGCTTTCAGATGATGTATAAATCCCAATTTAAAAAAAATTGACCCTTATGACTGGTTTTGTGGTCCAGGGTCATATATGGATAGCATGATGTTCTGTGTCCTGATCCTCCTGAAAGATTCATAATGGACTCTTCCGTCCTCATCCTCCCCCGGGATGAAGATGGACCGCTCCAAACGCTCTCTGACTTTCTGTGGTTATTTTCTGCCCTCAACAGAATCAGTGTGTTTGGTGATAGTCTGTGGTGAAATGAGGCTCTGCAGCGGGTCTGGAGTCATTTCATCCTCGCAGTTTTAGTTCCCCTTATTTTAGTTTGATCATTTATTGCTTGAGAGACTAAACGTCAACACGAAACAGTGTTTTACTATCCTTACAAAAATCTGAGCACAGTTTGAGACTGTTGAGATTTCTTCTGAAACTCAAAAGGAGACACATGAGGTGATCAGGGTCTTTTTCTCAGAAACATTTACATTTACACCTCTGCATGATAATTTAGCATTAGAATCAATCAACACATTATTTATTTAAATGTATGAATTTGTGGGTTGGTATGTTTCTGATAAATAAGGTCGTTCCCAAAGCTCATGGTAGTCACGGTGTTAAATATCTCTCTATAATCGTCTAAAATACATGCCAGTCCTCCGCATATCACTGTAATTAACTCTTAACTCTAATTAAGAGGTGCTTTGAGGGCTATGCATTATTGCAGGTTTGTGGTGATGTTCTTTTAGGTGTGAGTTTAACGTGCATTGTGTAAATCACAACGACCTGCTCTGATAATTGCTACTTCTGCAATATGCGCACTTTATTTATTTATAGAACAGAAGTGCAAACGTAAAGTGATTTATCTGTAAAGTGGTTTAGCAAAAACAGGTGAATCTTTTGAGAACAGCAGGCCGTATTTCATCCCATCAATAAACCAATAGAACAAAATATATATTTAGCATAAAAATGCATATTTTAGTCGCATTAAATATTGTGACATTATTTTCATGACAATTAAGCACATCCTCATTACTGTAATGCATCCAGATTTTAATTTCCAATTTTTCTTAACAGTGGTTCAAATGACTGTAATACAGTATTTTTTAAATATAACTCAGCATTAAAGTGGTACAACAGAGAGATATATATATATACACACAGTATATACTATAGTATATATATATATATATATATATATATATATATACTAACCCTAATCATGTTAACAACATGCTAATCATAGTAATTAATTAATAAAATGCTAACATGATTAGCATGAGGCTAACACGATTAGCATATCATTAGCATGATGCTAACATGTTTTAACAAGGAAGTAACATCACTAGCATGATGCTTACAGGTTTAACATGTCATTAATATGTTTTTAGCAAGATACATTATGATTAACATGTTGTTAGCATGATTGAACACTTCACTAGATGTTGCTAGCATGCTTTTAACATGTTCTTAGCATGTTTTAGCACTTAACAATGCTGGCATGATTTAACATATTGTTAGTATGATGCTAGCACATTTTGGCTTGTTTAGGTCATGTTTATACAATTACCTAAGATTTTTAGCATTTTTTTAGCACTCTTAGCTTGTAGCTGTTCACTGCTAGCTTGAGTCAAACTTTCATCATTGCAAAAAAAAAAATATATATATATATATATATATATTAACTTCTAGAAGTTAATATATATACTGTATATATATATATATATATTTTTTTTTTTTTTTTTGCAATGATGAAAGTTTGAGTAGTGTGCAAGATATATATTTTTTTTTTTTTGCAATGATGAAAGTTTGAGTAGTGTGCAAGATTTGTACATTGCTTTTTCACAAAGTGAAATATGACCCGTACATGTTCTTGACTGGTTTTGTGAAATTCACTCAAGTATTTTTTTAATCTCTTTATCTCTGTGAATTTTCTGCCAGTTGTTCTGACTCACTGCGTCTCATCTTATTTCCACCAAGCATGCATCTTTGTTCTTTTCCGGTCCTCCTGTTTCCACGGATCTCCTTCACTCACATCACACTAACAGGATTGGGTTGTTTCCCGCGCATGTGTCTTAAGAGCTTTTTGACATGATTATATAACATACCAACCCACCTCTGAGTGATGCTGCTATGTTTTATATATAAAACATCTAGAGGAGGAACATTCAGTGTGCACCAAATAAAACCTATTTTCCTCTCCATGGGGCCTTTGCTTAATTTAAAGCAGAAGATGGGTCAGTTCAGCTCCAAAAGCCACTAAAAATAAACCTCTCCATTAACGAGAGTGAAGCCCTGGCTGGTAATTTTAGCTGCGTTGTGTTCGGGGAATCCGTGCTGTTATTTAGGGCTGATGAAAGTTCCCTTTCTGTCTTACAGACTGAAGTGATGCTCACAGTCCTGCCCTCCAGAGCGCAATGAACAAATAATCACAGAAACGTGAGGATTTCTATCAGTGTTATCGGTTACTACAAGCAAAACTAATAAAAACAGTGAAATAAAGCTGGAATAAAAAAAAAGAATACAGTTTAGATGAGAAACTATTTTTAAAAAATGAAACGAAAATTAGAATGTTGGCAACTAACTGGAATAAAATTAATTGTTGACCTACTAAAAATAAAAATAAAACTGAAATCAAAATAAATTAAAGCTGAATTTAAATGTTTAAATTAAAATCTAATAAAAATGTCAAAAACATAACAAAATTACTACAACAAACTAATGTTAAAATGAAAACAGAAAATATAAAAAATAAAGCTATATTCATAAATATAGGAGATATATAATAATAATAAATAATAATAATAATAATAAATTAAAATAAATTAAATCTAAATAGAAAGTTTGTCAAATGCACATAAAATTACTAAAACTTACATTAAAACACGAAAATATAAAAAATAGAAGCTATATTAATAAATACTACAATAGCATAAAATTACTAAAATTAAAACTGAAATAAAAATTTAAAAAGCTAAATGTAAACTTACTAACAAAATTACTAAAACTTGAACTAAAAAAAATAAATTTGGAAAAAATACAAATAAAATCTATATTTATAAATAATAACAAATACTAAAACAGAATGTAATAAATATTACTAAAGTAACGCATAGTGTTGTGTTTTTCATCAGGTCACAGAGCACATGAATAAAATATATGGACGCATTATGGTAATACAGAAAATGTGCTTAAATGCTCTTAAAACTTACTCGTACTTTTAAATGTATTATTATTATTATTATTATTATTTTAACACCATGTCAGGAGCATGGTGAGAACAGTCAATTACAAAAGTCAGAGAATTATCAAAAAACTATATATAAAAAAATGTCTGATTAATACAAGAGAAAACTTGGAATATACTGTATGAGACGAATCATACTGATGGACATTTGAGATTTTCTGTGTTCTGTTGGAGATTGACAAGCCCTGGTCAAGATCCAGAAAAGAGCAGCACGAACATTTTGTTAAAAATCTCCTTTTGCGTTTCACAGAAGAAAACATACAGACATGTTTGGAACAACATGAGGGTGACGTTTAATTTTTGTGAACTTCCTGTATGTAAACCTGAAATACTGACACAAGAAACGATCTGAAAGGAGTTTGAGGGAGTGAAAACACCACAGTTTTCTGACACTTTCAGCGAGCGTGACGCTGTGACGGAGGATTCTGGGGTCAGCGCATCAGATCATGTTGTGTGTGAACGCGTGAGAGTGTGTGTGTGTGTGTGTGTGTGTGTGTGTGTGTGTGTGTTTGTGTGTGTGTCGTGCGAATGGACCGTGAGAAATTCTGCTGTCGTGTCTGACTGGAGGGATCAGATCGAAGCGACATCACACACACAGCAACTGCAGCAGAAATACACAGTGTCATAACACTGCATGTACTTTACAACCGGCGTGAGAAGGGAGCGAGGAAACTCCCTTCTCTCATTCTCCACAACACAACACTCCACAATATCACTGCTTAGAAAATGCCATACAGTACATATTTAACAAATCTCAGCACTCAAGGCCGAATGGGTTTCCTTCAAGCGTCTACGCTTTTAAACAACATGTGCTATTATTTAGGTCTGAACTATACATGAAAACACATTTATCACTGGACTGCTAAAAGTTTCTTACTTGCACAAGAGAAATCTTTTTGGCACACAGAATGCGAGCAAATACTGAACTGAGTTCTCATTCTTGCTTTTGAACAGCCAACGTTATGTCAAAATGCGAGTATTCTCGTAAACACAGACGTTAATGTTTTAAGTGAACGTAAACCGTTGGAAAAGAAACCTGATGTGTATAATAATGTTGGATCCATGCATTAGGTCTTAAAGTGACAGCAGCCTAATATACCAGTGTTTTAAAGTTAATTAAACAACAAAAGGAAAGAAGAGTACTGGCTTACACTGGTCAAAAATAACTTTATTAATTGATTGATTCTATGAAATATATATTATTATAATTTTTTTTTGGCAGGGCAAGAAAAACTTTGAACACTTATTGAACCTGAACAACTAACTTTAGCCAACAACTGTTGATTCTGTTGATTGCATTAATTAATTAATTAATCTTATTTATTTAATATGTAATTTATTTTATTTATTTAAATAAATATATATATATTTTTTTACATGTATTTATTTATTTTAATTTTTTGTGGCGACAGGGCCATTGACAATTTTGCAAGGGCAAGTAAAAATCTCAACAACTGGCCTGACTGAGCCAGTAGAAAACATAATTTACGCTGAGCCCTGAACACTTTAACTAACTTTAACCAACAACTGTTGATCCACCATGACAGTAGTTGCCCTGAAAGTGAAAACTAACCACAGAAGAAGACAGTTTGTGTTCATGCCCTCTATAGCATCCCTTGTGGACACATTTGAGAAGGTTTATGGTTGCACTGATCTTAGAGTCTTTGTAAACCCTGCTGGTTAGTCTCCGCTCTTACCTGGTCCAGCAGCTGGTTATAGAGCTCATGGCAGTTGTCAAAGATGTATTTGTAGGTGGAGTCCAGACAGGCCTTCACACAGTCTTTAACCACCATACTGGCTCTGGGAGGATTCTGCAGCTCCTGCACCTGCAGCACAAAACACACTCATAGTCAGTCCTGTGTAGTTTGTCGTTTCTGTGGCCTTTCTGCAAAGTTTTCAGATTGTTGCTATGCTCTGTAGCTGCTAAGAAGATGTTTTGTACTATTATGGTGTGTTTTTGAGTTGGAACGCTGTAATTATGAAGCCAGATGTGTTCAAATTACTTTGGTTTCAGAACGTTGCTGATGTAAATTTTCTAAATACATCAATAAAAAATACAGCAAGATTTTAAAACTACTTCTGCAATATTATGAATAAAGAATGCAGATTAGCTGTGATTTTGTTCATGTTTGTATTCGATAAGATATTCAGATGGATGGATGGATAGATAGATAGATAAATAGACAGACAGACGGACAGATGGACGGACTGATAGATGATAGACAGATAGATGATAGACAGATAGATAGATGAATGGATGGATAGACGGACGGACGGATGGATGGATGGATGGACGGATGGACGGATGGACTGATAGATGATATATGGATAGATGGATGGATGGATGGATGGATGGATGGACAGACAGACTGATAGATGATATATAGATGATAGATAGATAGATAGATAGATAGATAGATAGATAGATAGATAGATAGATAGATAGATAGATAGATGGATAGATGGATGGATAGATAGATGGACAGACAGATAGACAGACGGACAAACAGATTGATAGATAGATAGATAGATAGATAGATAGATAGATAGATAGACTTACTAATTAATTAACAACCACTGAACAATGGCCAAACTCTCTATTTTTTCTCTGTTTTTCCAGGATATTGTGGACTTGTACAGAAGAAGACCCTAAAAACACGCGCTCAGAGTATGTAAATGAATAACTTGAGACTGTACATTAGTGTGTGTTTCTCTTTGTCTTATGTAACAGTTAATGTGTCCCATTCCTCCGTGCATGTCGATAGATAGATAGATAGATAGATAGATAGATAGATAGATAGATAGATAGATAGATAGATAGACTTACTAATTAATTAACAACCACTGAACAATGGCCAAACTCTCTATTTTTTCTCTGTTTTTCCAGGATATTGTGGACTTGTACAGAAGAAGACCCTAAAAACACGCGCTCAGAGTATGTAAATGAATAACTTGAGACTGTGTTTCTCTTTGTCTTATGTAACAGTTAATGTGTCCCATTCCTCCGTGCATGTCGTGTTGGTGTTTCTGAACGCGAGCGCTAAAGGAAGGCATAAACATCGCCCCGCCATAGGCGCTCTTCCAATACCCATAATGCACTGTGACGGTTGGGGTTTTTATTCTGTGCCTGGCGGTGCTCTCTCGGTGGGCGGAGCTTCCTCTTCCTCTTTATGCGCTTCACTGATTTGCCTGCTCAGACCAATCTAACTGTCAGTCATTAACATGACGAAGCGCGTTTTATAGGATGCAAGGCCCGGCTAATGAACTGACGCCACTGTGTGTGTGTGTGTGTGTGTGTGTGTGACATCATCTCCTCATGCCTCAGTCTACTCGGCACGACTCATCAAAACACACTCCTTAACTCTCGTAATTCAAAGGCCATCAAATCAGTATGTGGGTCAATGAAAGAAAAATAATAATAAAAAATTCTATATATAGGCTGTCAAATCGGTTAATCACATCTAAAATAAAAGTTTGTGTTTACATAATACATGTGTGTACTATATATATATATATATACATATACATGACATTATGTATTTCATTATATATATATATATAAATTTATATATATTTTAATTTATATTTAATAAATAAACTACTATAATAAAATATAACATATCAATCAAAATGTATATTAGAATTGAAAATGCATTATTATATAAATATATTTTCATAAATATATGTGTAATGCTGTTTTCTTTAATAGGACAAATTTCTTCACTATAGTCCTCATTTCTAAGAATCGCATTTTTAATGTGGTTTTTAATACATTCATTGATCCAGAGCAAAATGAAAACCAACATCATCACTGACCCACATACACTTTTGCATAAAACATTTTCTGTCTACATCAAAGTCCCAAAACGCATTAAACACAAGTACACAAACGCTTCTAGCGACGCAAGCTGGATTTACTTAACGTTCCTGCATTCTTAAAGGTGCCATAGAATGCATTGATACAATATTTTAAATTGCTCTCTGATATCTACATAGAAGGTATGTGGCTTAGGTAAGGGCAAAAAATCTCCAGAAAC